TTTTGCTCATTATTAGGCAATATGATTGCATTAAAGGTGCAAAGGTTTAAACATACCTACTTTATGAACATTAAATACACCCTTCCTCTATAGCTAACCTCATTAATAGAGTGTTTAATTCACTTTTCATTGAAGGGAAATTTTTAGAGAAATCTATAGGGAATGTTGATTAAGTATACAGTATATGGCTAGAAGTATTAGCAAAGTGTCCAGTATGTCTTATATTCATTATAGCCGTGAGTTGGTGAATAAAATTGGTAAGAGTAATCACTAGTAAAAGAATCTTTACATTACAGTAAAGCCAACTACATGTGTATGTATATATGCAAACAGCCAAGTTCATTTCAGTTTCTTAGTCTCTTCTCTAACTTCTAACGGTATGGTTTTTTTTTTCCTTTTTTGAATTGTACTAGGTAAGTCTTGCATTTATTATGCATTTATTTTTGTAAAACATTATAACTGGATGACTTATAAAGATCAAGACTAAGGTAAAATTAAAGATATATGTTGTCAGTAAAGTAGGTCTCATTGCTTAAAATTAAAAAGATAACCTTTTAACCAGGCGGTGGTGGTGTACACCTTTAATCCCAGCACTGGGGAAGAGGCAGGCAGATCTCTGTGAGTTCGGGGCCAACCTAGTTTGCAAGAACTAGTTCCAGGACAGACTTCAAAGCTACAGAGAGACCTGTCCCGAAAAACAAAAGAAACAAACAAACAAAAAAGGTAAAAATAAAAAAGATAACCTTTTGGCAACATCATGAGGTCTTAAGAGTTCTTCACAGAAACACTTGAGCAGGCTCCATGCAATGATAATTTACGTTCACTTGAGCCTTGTGACTGACCGTAGTTAAATCCACTTTTTGACAATGTTATGATCTGAGCCTTATGAGCAGCCGTAGTGAGATGATCACTGTTTAATGGTTTAAGGTTAATTCTACCTTAGTGATTTACTGCGCTTAGCATTTGTTTCCTTGAACTGATGACTCTTAAATATCTGCTGAAATTTTCCTAAAGTAGTTGTTTGGAAGAAAAGAGCAGGGAACATTAGCTTCTGAACTCATCTGAAATAGCTCTGCTTGAATGAGCCTTTTCTTCACCCGGCAAGCAAAACTGTCAATCAGAATTATGTCTTTGTTTCCTATCTACTATGAAAAGTTACTTCCTTGACAACCTGCCATGAAATCTGTGACTTCCTGTGCTGGGGCCCTGGAAAGGCATGCAAATCATATACTGGACTCTCTCTTTATAAAACTTTGCCTAAGTTCATAATTTTCCTAATTTTGTTAAAAGTAACAAATATTTTGTTTGTGTCTCAACCACATGGATGAGAAGGGAACCATAGAGAGAGAAATGGGTGGGAAATATTTATTACTCGATATAATATAAATAAACACTGGTCATTGTTAGTCCTGTTCCTTGGCTCTTTTTCCTTCACTGGGCAATGGGTTGGAGTATTTAACAATCTAGTTTTCTGTCTCTTGCCTGGGATAATTGTAGAATTTCTCTTATTTCTCCAGCACTTCCAAATTATATTATTTTCTTCTTCTCTGTCTTTTCAATATAGCAATATCTTTGCCTAAAAAAAAGATGCATAACAAGACATTGATACCCATATGCAAACAAAAAGGGAGTCAAACTACTTTTTGACACCTGTTGTTTTGAAAATGGCCTTTAGCATCTGAGACTGGGTTTGCACCTCACAAGTCACTTAAGTTCAGTGAAATCCTCCACAACTGGTGTCTGATTCTGTGCAGGAGCTGAGTTTAAAGTCAGTTCGGGTGATATCTCTAAACAGTATTCAAGTCCAGAGAATCTGAGCAAATGACAATGGCATCATTTTGTTATACTGGGGGCCAGAGTACCTCCAGGGCTGAGGCAGTGATGCACCCAGCAGCTGGACCACATTGGATTGCAGAAGAACTGCCCCGCCCCGGTCCTCTTTCCTCATCTACAAGACCCATGTGTCAGCTGCAGCCATGCTCCTGGAGCCTCTGGGGGTTGCTTTAGAAGGATTTCTGTGGCGTACCCAGAAGCATTTTATCACGTGTGTACCTGTGTGTTTATGTGTGCATGCACATGTGTTCACGGGTGTGTGCAGGTACCTGCTGGCATGTCTTCTCACCTGCTCTTAAGGTGAACCCCAGTTTGTCCAAAACATACTTCCAAAAAATTTAGAATCGAACTTGGAGTATATCTGGACTTCAAATGACTCAGATGAAAACAGAGCGAAGATGAGCAGGATGTGTAGGCAGTATTTATAGACACAGGCTGGGCATAAATTTAGTTCTGAGCTTCCTGGCAGTAAAGGAAATACCATTGGATTAGGTAATGACTCTTACACCATAAAAAGAAATGTGTCTAGTAAACAAACTATTTTCTTTATTTAAAAAAAAATCTCCAGGACGAACTTATTTACAGCATCTGTTAGAGATAGCAGCTAACAAGAAGCTATGTCTTCTGATGTGGAAATGAAGGCACCAACCTTTTAAAAACAGTTTTCAGGACAACAAAATACACCCATAGTCCAGGGCTTGGATTGTTCTAGGATGCCTGCATCATTTTCAAGGCCCTGGCTTCAATCCACTAGTATTAGTACTACTACTACTACTGCTAATAATAATAATAATAATAATAATTGGTTTTGATGACCATCTGTTATAAACCAAGGTCTTCCTGATAAATCTTCTTAACAAAAAAAAAATTCAGATTGGCCAAAAGGAAGTCAAGTGTTTGTTTTTGTTGTGCTTTTCCAGAACTGGATATTAATTTTTAAAAATGAATTTGTTTTTCCATTGAGTTCTTTAAGCTGGTCTATTAAGTGTCATTAGACCTTTAATTTCTTAAAGATTCTTCTCCTGGCTAGAATAATTTTCATCCTAGCATGGTTGACGTTTGATTACACTGCTTTCCTTCACTAGCTATTCAGCACAAGTCAGTATCCATCGCTTTATTTAGCACACTTGTTGCCAGCACCATGGATAGCTCCCAGGTGTCTATTTTAATGAGTGAAGTCTGAAGTCTGTTTCTAAGCAATCTAGATGCCAAGTGAAACTGATTGCACATAAACGGTTTGGAATTTGTAGGTGAGGGGTTATTAAAAAAAAACAGTAAACAGTTGAATTATGTGATTGTTAGATTTGTGTGGTCATTCTTAGGTAAGGAAGCGGAACAAAAAATGTCAATAGTATTTGCTGAGTTTTTATTATGTGCAGGTTACAACATGTATATTAGCTCATTTAATTTTCACAAAGCTCTTTGACACACATATAATCACTATGAACATCATCATCCCTATGTTATAGATATTGATACTCTGAGGTTAAATAATATGACCCTGGTTCCACGGTCCATATGTAGTGAGCCTAATGCTGCCTAGAGTCCGGGTCTCTATTACCAAAATAACACTCTTTCTCTGAGTACCTTGGCCATCAAATCACATGGCAGGAAAGAAGGGAGCAAAGGACATTAAGGACATGGTTGGCTCATGTCTCTGTCATCCCTAGTCTTTCTCATTTGAGTTTTCAGATATGCATTATGTAAAAATTCTTACAAAAATTTACTGCATGTATGACCCCAATGGCATTACAGGTCTGTTGTTCACTGAGACTGTTTGCCCAATCCACTATAGACAAAGGGAAGATTCTGGACATTAACTAACATAGAGGAGGTATGATGCTTAATGGTTGAATATGGGTTACAGAATTATGCCAATTTCCTTAGCATGGATTATTTTCAGTAATTACAAATATGATTGGATGAATGTATTGTTCTATTAGTGATGACCTTTTTGTCAGAGACCTACTTTAAAAAGAGCTTCCTTTTCATTACTCATTGTTAAATCAATGATTAGCTATTGGCAAAGGTTCAAGACTATCCCTGTTACCATGTTTTTAATAGTGTTTGATTTAGATGTGCTCATACTTCCAGTGCAAATATATATATATATATATATATATATATATATATATATATATATTAGTAATTTACTAATTGCAGCTATGTGCAGTTAAGCACAGTGTTATTGGTGGAAAATCAAGGATAAATCATGAAAAATGTGTAATTATTAAGGAGTTGGAATTAATCTTTAACTTCTTTCAGAGCAAGGAAACTATAATATAGGTTTGACTGGTTTTCACTTCAGATAAGCGAGATTCTGGGTAATTTGGGTAAATTTTGATTTATTTTTTGCCTTTTATATTAGTTGGGGTTCACTAGAGGGACAGAACTGATAGACTAAATCTCCATCTGTACCTAAAGGGGATTTGTTAGAGTAGCTTACAGGCTGTGATACAGCAAATAGGTCAACAGTCGCTGTCTACCAACAAAAGGCCCAAGATTCAGTAGCTGTTCAGTCCACCAGTTTAATGTCTCAGCTGGTCTTCGGTATACACCCGAATCCCGAAGAAGAAGTCTCTAATACCAGTCATGGAATGGACTGTGATAGCAACTGGCTAAAGAGAGCATGCTTCCTCCTTCCATGTCCTTTAGATAAGCAGCTAGCAGAGGGGATAGCCCAGATTAAAAGTGAATCTTCTTACCTAAGAAGATCTGGACTAAAAGTGTTTCTTCCCATTTCAAAAGATTTACTTAAGAAGAAATTCCCTCACAGGTGTGCCCAACCACTTGGTTTTTAGTTAATCCCCAAGTTGAGAAGCATGAACAATCATCACATCTTTCTAATGAAGTGCAGAATCCTTCCCTGTAATGTAAAGAATTAAAGATCTGATTTGCCCACTAATATGTACTTTCTCTTTGGGCTCATAACGCCTTTCAAACTGGAAGACAGACCCACCCCTCAGAACAAGATTGATTCCCTTACACACATGAAGAATTTTTACTTTCCTTCATTTTTATAACCTGGTTTTATAACTAAAGAATGTTACAGCTCGCAGTATCCAATATCTATGGTATCACCTGTTCAACATTGAGCATGCTCACAGAAGTACTTGTAAGAGGTCTATAGAATGCATGTCACTAATGTCCTATTAATTTCATTTCAGACAATCCATGGGCACAAGGGACCAATCACTGCAGTGTCCTTTGCTCCTGATGGGCGTTATCTTGCCACCTACTCAAACACTGACAGCCACATTTCTTTCTGGCAGGTAAGCAGGGCTTAAATATGTACTGCGTGGTGGGCTTTAGTGGGAAGGGCTTCCTATTGGGCCTGTCTGCCGTTCTTCCTTTGTGCCCGCCCACCCTCCCTTACACAAAGGTCAAGTGTTCAGATTACTGATTATGTGCAAAGTGCCAACCTGCAGGGTGCTGGGAATACAGTTAACAATCTCGTAGAGAAGGAACACAAGCTCTCCCGAGTCTTCGCTCTAAAGGAAGCACAGATGCAAGCAGTTAAAATCCAGAGTCTCTGAGAATGAGATGGTGGGAAGCCTTCAGAGCAAGGGACATCTGGGTGTAGCCATGCGAGGTAGAGGAAGAACATAGGTGAAGCTTGGCTGGATCGGAGTCCACGGGAAGCTGCAGTCAAGCAATAGCATTGTAACAGGTTTATGGTAGCATTCTAACAAGGTCTTGGGATCTTCTTTAATGGAGCATAGGATACTGGGTGTTGTCCTGGTATTTTATGCCTGTCCCTTATCTCCTTTTTCATTTCTGTCATGTTTTTGTTTTGGTGGAAGGTTGTTCTTTCTTTTTTTGTTGTTGCTTTGCTTCTTTTCTTTTTCTTTTCCTTTTTTTTTTTTTTTGAAACTGTTTACCTTATAACCCAGGCTTACCTCAAACTCAACATCCTTCTACCTCTCCAGTGCTGAGATTATAGGCTTGTACTGCCAGACCTGGTACTCACATAATATCCTGGATTTCTAAAATATACAAAGCATTTTAAGAAAAACTAAGTGTATCTTGAGCTGGGCGGTGGTGGTGCATGCCTCTAATCCCAGCACTCGGGAGGCAGAGGCAGGCCGATCTCTATGAGTTCGAGGCCAGCCTGGTCTACAAGAGCTAGTTTCAGGAGAGGGACCAAAGCTACAGAGAAACCTTGTCTCAAAAAAAGGACTAAGAATATCTTTATGTGACATTTCATGAAGAAAAATACACATATTTAATTATGTTTATATATAAAATTAAATATTATATATAATATAAAAATTAAATATAATTCAAAATAAATATATAATTAAATATCTTCTTATATGTCACATATAATATAGTATGTTCTATATAAATTATAATGTGTACTATAATTATAATATATAATTAAGTATTATATATGCATATTTAGTTTTGATTAAACAAAACACTAATTTTGAGCAACTAATTTTTATAGGAGACTATTAACTGCCACCATTTCCTCCTCTTTTTAACTCCCTTTAGTCCTGACAATTAGAAAAATATAACTTCATTTTCAGAAGATACAAATGCACTAATAAGACCAGCATATTGCGTTGAAAGCTGAAAAATTAATTAAAATTTTGAGGTCTTCAACACAACCTGATGATGGTTTTAAAAAAAGCTAATAGGATGTAAAATGAATATAATAAATTGTTTAATTAACAACATCCTACTGAAATGCGACACCTTCCAACCTGTCAGAACCTTTTACTACTTTTTAATCTAATGTTCTTTCGTATTTTGGAGGCTTAGACCATATACTAGAACTGGATTGTATGTTTCTCACTCCTTTTCCGGTCCCTCTCTGCTGGCTCCCTGACATTTCTGGGTTTTTCAAGAACGTCTGAGCCTGTGAACACAGCTCCACAAGTCCGCTGCTTCACAGGCTGCCTGGTGCCATCTGCATGTGCAAGGACACCAGACAGCCCAGCCACTCCCAAACAGCATCAGACCTGAAGGTGCACCCAGCTCCTGCATTGCTTAGTTGTGCCCCACCCAGTGTCCAAATTTAAATGGCAGGCAGAAAAAAGACCATTCTGTCTGTCCGGGAAAATCCAAGCTCTTCCTGGATTGTGGTGGCTTCTGTTGGAATTAAAGAGAGTCTAAGTGCAGTGGGCAAATCTGCTGCTGCTGCGCTGACAGAGATACGTGCCGCTCAGTTCTAATGGTGTCTGAGAAGACTCCTGATCGTTCCAGGAAGTGTACTATAATATATTTTGAAAACTTAATGAAGTCTTATTAATACAGAGCCTTACTAAAACTATCAACTGTAAAATCTTTGCTGAGAAATGAGTGTTAATGAGAAATATTGGTTGGGTAATTACTCAAGTGAGACCCGGTAGAAGGTTTGCATGCAGCACCGCTTACTTTGGGGAAGGCATTAAAACATTTCTGTTTTGATGAATTATATCTGTCTGTGTGTGTTTTTCTGTTCAGAAAATAATCTTCACATAACTACTGTTGTGATGCATCTTTCTGAAGGAAAGGGAGAAGCTGCCGTTGGAGTTTAGTCACTCTGTATAATTAACTGTTAAATATGGCAGCAATAAACCATTTTCCTACAATTTGAATATTTCACTTCAGTATATCTATTTGGTATTCCAGAGAGAAAAGTTTGGTAATGAAAAACATCCTTAATTCTCTCATGCAGATATTACCAATACCACCTAACAAGTAAATCTTGTTTTTCAAAAATGTTAATAAATTGCATAGGGATGGGTTTCTTTATATTTACTCCATCATGCGGTAGAGTGCCACTCAGCCATTCAAAAACAGTGATGGGAATCTGTTGTCATTATCACGATGATTTCCTTAACATGTGTTGAACTGAAAAAGCAGATTATAAAAGTGCTTTTAATGTGAGCCTGTTTCTTAGATCTGTGTGTGTGTGTTATGTGTGTATACAGTTTGCATATGATATGTGTGCATAGTATATGCATGCAGTGTGCACGTGAGAACAGGGTGCTTCCTTGCTTGTGAGTACATATGATTTGTATGTGCACAGTGTGCACTACATTCATTGTGTGTGTGTATAATTGTGTGTGCAATTTGCATATTAGTGCCAGGTGTGTGTGATTGATGTGCATAAATAGTTTGTGTGGGTGCATGCGTTGTGCATGTGTATGCACGGTATATGAGTGAACTGGGATGTTCACAGGTTGTTTATCAAAATGCTGGTAGTGATTATCACAAGAAAGTAAGGTTTGGAGGATCTTTTCTTTTTTATAATTTTATTTAAATTTTCATATGTCATATTTATAATACCCTAATTAGAGAAAATGCTTAATATTGCTAAAACTAATTCCATGTAGCTTTCATTCAAAGATTAAGTTTCCTTGAGTTTAGCATAGTTTATAGGTAGACATCAATGAATTAAAAAATAACATTGTCTAGCAGAATGGGTCATTGCTTCAGTGAGAAGTAACATTCACCCTGGAAACTCAGGAATCCTCCTTTGAGTGGGGGTAGGAAGTGTGGTCAGTAGAGAAATGAAACCAGTGAGCAAGTGAGTCTTCATCAGCACAGCTCTAACAGTGTTTGCCTTCGAGAACTCGGCATATCTGTTCCAGGTTGGAAGGCCGTTCAGTGGAGGCATTGAACAGAGCAGGGATGACTCAGCTTATCGCATCCAGATATAGCGGTGATTTTTTTCATAAAATTTGCCCATCTATGGCCTTTCTACAGGATACTCCCGTCCTTCAGCTCTCAGTCCGTTTCCTTTAATGGCTACGTTGAGGCACACATACCGAACCTATTATATGCCCTTTGCATCCTCAGCCACTAGCCGATAGCAAGCTTCATACATATTTTCAAAGAAATCCATAAGGAATGAAAAATACTTTGTAGCTCTTTGTCAACTGAGAACTCATATTTTTAAAGCACAGTACATCCGTTAATGCCAGTTAATTGTAACCAACAATTTCCTAGTTCAATTAGCTCTGTTTTATCAGAGGACTAATTATATACTGGTAGGTTTTGTAGGTGTGATACTAGCTAATCGGGTTCACCATTGTGACTGACATGTTCCACAGTGGGACGCCTCCATGAGGCAGTGAGGCTTAGATTTTTATCTAGTATAAAGTTTTTTTTCAGGAAAAAGAGAAAAGGAAACCAGAAAAGAGACCTTGGAGGGATGACAGGTGAGGTACTGCTTATCTTGAACTGAACTTTTGCAGAAAGAGTTAACCATGACCGTACATTTGGTTTAAAATGTGACCTCGTACACTAGTGATTTTTTTTTCACCTCTTGTGTTGTGCTCGGCACTATTATTAATGCAGGAAAATCAGTAACATTAGTCATCTTAAAAGGGTTATTACTCAAGATGATTTAAATTGTGAAAATGTCAGTGGAGCCTGCACGCGGCCTGCTAGAGATGCCATGATTTACGCCCTCTGACACCATCCTGCTCCTGAGAAGGGCTGGAAAAGGAATGGCCTGTATTTTGTGCTGATCCAAATTCAGAGCATGGTATCACAATAACACAACTTAAAGGTCCCAAGATCTGCTAGGATTTCAGCTGCTCGTGCAGCTGGGTCATGATAGGCATGTTTTGCCCACAGAACTAGCATGTGATCCATGTAGATGAAGCTTTATTCACCAGAGGAATAGGAAGTGAATATTAGTTCAGAGGAAGATTATTTCCAAGGCTTCCTTCCAGTTTTCAGAATGTTCTCTCTGTGATTTATGGTAGCACAAATAATGCATATTGAAGTCATCGAAGTAATATTTAGAACTTGAAGAAACCTTCAAATTCAGTGGCTCCAAAACCAGCCCACTTAGACAACAACCATTTTATATTCATCACCTTCATCTAATTACATAGTTGCTCATAATCTTCAATTTTTATGTTGTCTTCATTTTTGTGAATGGATTAAGAAAAATCACATTATTTTATTAAACTTAGGAAATCCTCAAAAAGGCAAAAATGTCCAAGCAATAAAAAGGTGTTGTCAGTACACATGGAAAACATACTCTCCTTAGTAGGGCAGCAGAGGGGTGGGGTGAAAGTGCTTCTGGGTTCTCTCTTAGAAATGAGCAGGAGCTGAGGACTGAGATGTTCAGTGGGTAAAGCACTGATGATGCAGAAGTCACATAATAATCCCACACTAGTTCAGAATTATGAATAATAAAGGGTTATTTATTTAGGGAAGACTTCCAGATCACTGTCCTAAATCAGTTTTCTGCACGATGGGGAACAGGAACAGAGGCTAGCAGCCAGAAGCAAGAGCTGGAAGCAAGAGAGCGAGCCCATGATTTACAGCTGCATTTATAGTATAAGAGACCACGCCCAAGTGGACTGAAATCTTAAAGGCTACTGGCTGAAGGAGCGAAAGGAGCTCCCACAGCACACTGTAGAGCTGAGTTTGGATTCCCAGCACCTACATATATGCTGGGCAGGTGTGGTAGCTCCTCTGAAAATCCAGCAAATTAGTAGGCAGAGAAAGGGTTGGGGGGGGGGGATCCCCTGGGCAAGTGGGTTAGCTAGACAAGCTAAATTTGTGAGGCCCAGGTTCAGGGAGAGATGTTGCCCCAATATGTAAGATGGAGAGTGATTGCGGATGACACCTGACATGAACCTCTGACCTCCAACCACATGTGTGCACACACGAAATACTATACTTACATACATGGGATGTTTTTCCAAAGCATTTGAAAAGGCAGATGGGAGCAATGAGGGTGATGATGGGAATGGGGCTTAGGGTGTGGCCCAGTCAGCTCTCAGTCTAGCTACAACATGGTTGTACTTGACTTTCCTCAGCTAATTATAAACCACATATTGTCTAACTTGAACTGTTTTTTTAGCAGCCGTAATTTAGCTTTTTTTCCTCAAGATCAATGGACCCTCTACTGTCAGGTTCTGCTCACAGAGTAAAATTTCTCAAGGTTTATGTGTTCACATAAATGGCATCGTGCCAATTTGAAATCTACTGAGAGGGGCCATTTCGAGTTAGAATAACTCAAAACTCCATGTGAATTACCATTCAGGAGGAGCCGGTGGGTAGAAGAAATAAGTCACTGTCTTTGGAGGAAGAAGGAAGCTGTCTAAACCGACATGTGTGTCCCTGTCCCTACAGATGAACACATCACTCCTGGGAAGCATTGGCATGCTGAACTCGGCACCTCAGCTGCGCTGCATTAAGACCTACCAGGTTCCTCCAGTACAACCAGCATCGCCTGGCTCCCACAACGCCCTCAGGCTGGCCCGCCTCATCTGGACTTCCAACCGGAATGTTATCCTTATGGCCCATGACGGGAAGGAGCACCGCTTCATGGTCTAATACCGCTGTCTGCTGCCCTGGCTGCCTGTACGTTCTATACTGTCTAGGCCGACGCTGCTGTCCTCACTCGTACTGGACTGTTGTTTGCTGCCTGCCCTCCTCCATGCCGTCCAGGGGCCATGGCCAGGTCTGTGTCACTTGCGCATGCTTCTTGGGGGCAGACTCCACACGGGCGACCTATCGATTTAAAGGCACACATACCCCTCAACAGGATGTGGCCATTCTGTCACTGGGTAGTTTTTCCCTGCCAGTGAAAGGAGGGGAGAGCTCGTGGTTCCCGGAGATGCTCTTGTTGCTTGATGTAAGGAAAGCCTGAAAATCAATAACCACTGTGATTGTGCCCCAGTCCTGATCCTCATTGTCAGCCCTGGCAGCTCAGCTCTGACCTGGATTCTAGGGCGATGCGAGTCCTCATTATTGAAATTACTTCCCTTTGGGTTTCCCACACTTACTGTTGTTTACCAAACCTATTTCATGTTTACATTGGTTTTTCTCTGCTAGCAGTTGATAGGCAGTTACTCAGTTCCACTTCCTCGAATTTAGCCACTACCTTCTCAGTAACACCAATCTCGATTTGAGATTAATGAGGAAAAAAATGTATTTTTCCTCTTAGAAAATAGTTTTCCAGATAGCTCGCTTTCTAAAATGCTCATTTCCTGCTCAAATGTTAGTGTGTCTCATAGTTTAAAATACAGATAATCCCTACTCCCCACGTGCTGACTATAACTAACCTTCTAAGGGGTTAACCTTTCAACAAAGAACCAAGTTTAGCACATTTGTACAGTGGAGGTTTCCCCATGTCACAATAGATTCTTCTGTGCAGAAAAGGCCTCCTCCTCGGGAACTTCACAATCTGCAGCTCCCGCATGTGTGGCGATGTTACAGTGGTCCTTTCCACCCCGCTTTCCAATTCCGGCTAATAGAGGAACACCAGGAAGGCATTTCCTTTAAGTGCACACCTGAGAACCTGATAACTGCGTAGACACATTGTTCTGGTGAGCAGAAAAGCGTGAGACTGCCAGTGTGTCCGAGTGGACCTACAGAAAAAGTGTCCACTGCGCTACCACACGAGCTTTAACTCCATTTTCTTCTGTGTCGAATTATGTTGCTCATATTGTAATGGAAGAAAAAAATCCATAACACAGTATTTTGTGTGAGTTGTTCCTAAAAATTTGATATATATTAGCAGCAGGGAGTTGATTTGTTTGTTGGTTGATTAAGGACACTTACCCAAGATTGTTTATTAAATACAAAAATAAAAAGGAGTTATTGAATTCAGAGAAAATATGTGATATTAACAGGGGAGCTAAAAATGAGAGCATTTAGTTTTAAACTCATAGATTGTCAAAACTTGTGTAATATGTAGGAAAGTAGGTTCAAGGTCCATGAATAAATGCATAGTTTACAGTACTTTAAGGAATATGTGAAGAAGCTAACATCCTCAGAATGTCTTTTGCCTACCGATGTATGTTCTTTTCATTGGTGGCAACTCCATACTGTCCCTTGGTTTGTCTCAATGTTGGGACTCTTTCAAAAGTTATTTTATTTCACACGCATGTATATCATATTTATAATGATTATATATGTAGGTTTCAAGAAGGAAATCAAGAGCTGTACAGTGTAGATTGTGGTGAGCAAGCGGATCTATTTAATGTGGATGGGGAAATGTCCAGCGGGCTCCAGAGACTGCTGTCTGCCCAGCACAGGTTTACTCTGTGAACTTCAGAGGGAAGAGTTCAACCGTCTGGAATGATGGGACAAACACAATCTTAGACATTCTGTTAAGCAAAGTGTTCCATGCTTCAGGAAGGCGCTGAACTAGAGAGCAACAGCAGATGGTGCCTGTCGTAGGGTTGGGTGCAAAGCAGTGAGGTCACAGAGACAGTCCTCCCGTGCCCTGTGTGTATAGTTGGAGGAGCACACCAACTGTAAAGCTCCTTGATAGAAGAATGGCTAACTGAAGAAGTGCATTTACATTCTCATTTACATAATGCTCTCCTTGGCTGTTTGACAACCACAGCTCGCAGCTTCATCTCAGCGTATATTCCTCAACACCGGGGCAAACTTGGTGTTGTCATTCCAGTGTGCGCTTGTAGTGTTCTATTGATTTTGTTGACACAGCATTTGGACCTGTCCTTATAAGCATAAAGCCTATGTGACTTCCCTGGTAATTTACAAGCAAAAGTGACCTCTTGTACACTGGTGTGAAAATCGTCATGTTTGAACTGCATATAGTGAATGAATTCAAATGTCTGTCTCCTAAGACATCTCTAGACGACTCCACTTGATAGCCTCTCTATGTGTTTAAGATTGATGTGTACATACTTGTGTTAAATAAACAGAATTGTACTGAAAATTGCTTTTGTCCCATTTTTACTGTTTACTGTGGTTCCTCTTAAACATGCTCTGTTGAAACCATATGCTCCTCTTGCCCTCATGTTTCTAGCTCTTCATTTCATTGGAGAGCAAGTTGCAGACAAGGCAACTACTTCCTCAGAGGACGGTAGAGCAGCGGCAAAGGCTCTTACCCATCAGAAGCTTGAGACCAGATGGAGAAACTCAACAGCACCCTCTGTGGCTTGGGCAGGGCAATTGCATGCATGTTGTTTTATCTCCAGCCTCACTTGTACCTAAACAGATCGACACTGTACCAGATTGAACCTTGTCAGACCTCGTGGCCCGGGTTTACTGCCTGGGAGCCAGACTGAGATCATTAAATTCATTTAATATTCGGTTTGAAGTTGAATTTGAATCATTGAGGTAAGAATAACAAAAATTCTCGTCACCCACAGAGCATTGCAAGTGAATACCGGCCGTACTTCTCGTGCCTTTCACGGAGCAGCTGGACTCGTCGGTCATGTATAGCAGCATCATCATCCCCAGGAATTAGACAACAATAACTTAAATGTGGCCTTGTAGGAAAATAAGAGCAGTAACAGTTCTGTGTGGTTGGCAATCACATAAACTGATCAAATGCGGAAAGGGCATGACATTAATAGGAAGGTAAAGACAAGCAATGCTGGCTGAACTTTCACCTTTCACCCCTCCGCCTGACTGACAGAACTGAGTGGTGGAGAAAATCAATACTTCAGAGCCAGGAGGGAAATATTTCCACCCTCTAACTAGAGAATATATTTTGACAAGGCCAAGATAATACAAGCTGCACAGGAGAAAGAAAAGACTCATTTTTAAAGCTTGACACTTCAAGGTGTTTTTGTACAAGGGTTTAGAGATCGTCAATACATACAAATACCAAAGGTCAAACAGAGAAGCCAGAAGAATTTCAAAAATTAGATGTTCCAGTTCTTTCCGCTGTTTACAAACTGAAGAGAGACGACCTATTGAGGGGCTTGTGTTTGCAATTGTTATTTAAGTGATCAGAGCCTGCCATTGGGTATTTGAGGGTATCATCTTTTTTAAATTTTGTAAAGTCAAAAGTATGAATATATCAGGATAACAGGTATTCACACTCCTTATTTCTAGAACATTTTGCAGTTCGTGTCGATTCTGACCATGACTTAGACTTGGTTTCTCATTTGGTTCAACCCTTTGCATAGGAAAGGGATTCATGTACCTTTAGAGCTGAAATGGTTTCTAGTTTCCCAAATCCTGGTAAGCATATCATTTGGGAACCCTAACCAGACCCTTCTAAATGAGAGGCTTTGCAACTTTGTGAAAAGAGGAAAAGCAACTCAGGCCGTTCTTGCCAGCAAGATCTGGGTTTATTCATACATGCATGTACAGACGTGGATTGTTTTCCTACAGGTAAGAAGGCAAGGATGTCTATGTTGCCAGACCTTCCAGACAAGCTCAGAAGGACAAAGGAATCCTAAGAATAGGGTAGTGCTCATAGCTGATTCTCGTCAGGCTTGCCAAAAAGATTACTGAAGTACAGCCTCAACTTGCCCACCTTCCCTCTCATTAGTAAACGCTCTCTGTTCAGAGGAGGTAAGTCCAGCCGGAGATGTTCAGTTGGGTTATTGCAAAGTAAGAAGGCAGATAGCCAAGACTGCTGGATAATCTGGGAATCCCCAGCGGAAACCTGCAATACCATGCCTGGTTTGCCATCTACGGTATCAAGTAAGTGGATGCTGCACTGTTAAATCTGCGAGATTACACCGTTAAAAAGCAATATCTGCTAAGTGTTCCATAAATGTAAGTGAACATTTTTAGCAGACACTTAGAATTTATTGAGCACGAACAAAAATGATTGGCCATGCCTTTTGGAAAGTGCAGGGTGATCTGTTGTCAGATTTCCTTTCTAGCCTCACTCTGAACATCCCTTCCAATGCCTTCACTCTAGAGTAGCTCTGAGCACGATAGAGCGCCAAGATTCTAGTGTTCGCCAGCCTCTCTGCCTGGTGCGATAGTGACCTTGTTTCTCACCAAAACCTTTAGATGTGAAGAAATGTGAGAACATATGTCTTCACAGCTCCAGAACTGCACTGGAGGTTAGCTGGAGCCTTCATTCACAGCAACACAATCAAACCCTCCCTTTGTTTGACTTACGTTTCCTCTGCAGCCTTGAGCCTGAGACTACTATACCAAAATGTTCTATATCCAGTGTCTCTCCCTCTTTACCTCCTCCCCTTCCTACTTCCTGCTTCTCTCAGTCTACATCCCAAAGAGCCCAGCCTATGACAGTTGGTACCAGGAGTATCCAAGGAAAGCATTCTAGAACAGGATTTGGAACCATTGACCCACAAGAAGTAAAAGGCAAACATAGCCTCCAGCACACTGGAGATGTAGAATTGTTAAAACTCACTGATGATGCCTCTGAACGGAGGCTCCCATAGAGGGTGGCATTAGAAGAACCACCATAGCAGGCATAGATAATGTGGAAGAGATGACTCAGAGGCTAAGTGCCCTGGCTACTCTTGCAAAGGACCAGGGTTTGATTCTCAACACCCACATGGTGGCTCACAACTAGCAGTAACTTCAATTCCAGGGGACCCAAATCCCTTTTCTGGCCTCTGCAAGCACCACTCACACACATGGTGCACATACATAGATGTGGGAAAACAATGCTCAAAGCACATTAAATAAATATATAGTTTGTTTAAAACAGCAATCAGGCCAGGCAGTGGTGGCGCATGCCTTTAATCCCAGCACTTGAGAGGGAGAGGCAGGCGGATCTCTGTGAATTAGAGACCAGCCTGGTCTACAAGAGCTAGTTCCAGGACAGGCTCCAAAGCTACAGAAAAACTCTGTCTCAAAAAAAAAAAATCAGTTTAGATGGCTATTCTAGTGCTCCGAAGGGAGACAATGCACGGCTAAGGGTGACTAGCCACCAATTCAAAACTAAACATGAGAGAGCCAGAGAACTTGTGGCAGCATCAAAGAGGGCCTTTTCTACAGCCACAGGCAAGATGTGCATCCGGCCCAGTACTCACCAGTGAGATGTGGAGTTCCAGGACAGGTGGAACTAGTGACCTCACAGTCTACTGCCCCAAAACAAAACCCTGGTTGAAACAGAAAGGGCTTTTCTGGTCGTGGTGTTTTGAATAGGTATAGTTCCCAAGAGTTTGTGTATTTGAATGCTTTGCCCACAGGGAGTAGACCTTGTGGAATAGGTGTGGCCTTGTTGGAGGACATGTGTCACTGCGGAAGTGTGCTTTGAGGTCTTATAAGCTCAATTCTGGCCAGTGGGACACAGACTCCTGCTGCCTGCGGATCAAGATGTAGGACTCCCAGCTCCTTCTCCAGCACCATGTCTGCATACCACCATGTCTCACCATGATGACAATGAACTACTCTGCAACTGTAAGCCAGTCCCAATTAAATGTTTTCCTTTGTAAGAGTTGCCACGGTCATGTATCTCATCACAGCAATAGAACATGGGCAAAGACACAGGTTGATGCCCTTTAACAATCTTTAATCACCAGCTTCCAGTGGACCCTCCTCCTTAGTGCTTCCTTAGTGTCCTTTTCCATCTCCCGAGGCTAATAGTGCATGTCCCTACCTCCTCTCCCACCCATCACACCAGCTGACCAGGTAAGTCACACTATCACCCAGCCACTGAAAGGCTGGGTCTGCTGACTGGGAAAGAGCTAGATCGCAAAGGAGCTATGAGACCTCACCAACAGGTACCTGGGAGAACTGGTGAAAATAACAGCGTATATGGGGGATCCCAAAAAGACACAATATCAAGTAAGGCAAGGACGTGTTTATTAGTGCTGTTTAACAATGCTCACCTGCTGATGGCAGCTGCTCAGGTGAGGGACAACAACGGCCAAATCCTCTAGAGAGATGAAGGAAATGTTGTTAAACAGAAACAACTGTTGCTAAAATTCCTTCCTGTGGGGAGATAGAAGCAGCATCTACCCCTTCTCCTGAGGCCCCGATGACAAACCAAAGCATGTTTCTGCCAATAATCACTCTGGGGAACTGAGGAGTTTATTGGGCTTTTTTATATAGTATAGGCAACAGGTTACTTCCAATGCTTCCCCTCACAGGACACACCTGAAAAGTCTTTAAAGCCGCATAGATGGAGCCTCCTCACTCCCTATTCTTCAGGGGCCACACGCATTAAGGCAGATTTATGCATAACAGATAATGATTGGCTGGATGTTTTGGGGAGAGTCCTAAGGTTGTCTCCTCCCTCTATAAGAGGATGTCAACAATCAATAAATTGAGGTGGGATAATTCTTTTGCAAAGACATGTGGCTGAATGCCCAAAGATTGTAGTTACTTGGCATAGAGGATAGGCACAACAAAAGACTTGGAGTCTTTGCAGACATTGTTCTTTCTCTTTGCAATTATAAACATGGGGTCAAATTTTTAAATGGCTCAAGCTACATTGATTTTTACTTACAAATAATAGGACTATATTTACCATGAAACAGTGGAGTTAAAAAGGTGAGTGTTGAAACGAACTAACTCATGGGCTGGAGCGATAACTCCATAAACCCAAGTTCGGATCCCCGGAACCTTTGTTTTCAGAAAGCCAGACACAGCAGTGTGCAGCTGTAAATCCCACTGCTCTCGTGGGGAGGTTTGAAGGTGAAGATATGAAAATCCCCAGAAGCCTGAGGGTCAGATAATGTAACCTATGCAGTGGCAAACAGCAAAAGACTAGGTCATGGAGGATGGCAAAGGGTGACTTCTGATGTCCATTCTTGTGCCATGTGCACACTAACCCTAACCCCACGGCCACCCCAAAGCACACACAGAGGCACAGAGACAAGGTGGGTTTTTTTTTTTAAGTACTGTAGTCCATAGATTGGTTTTACTTAGTATACTTGAAGAGCTAGGATTTTTCTCTTAAGAAATGGATATCTTTAGGGGCAGAATCAGAGTCACAGCCCTTAGCCCTGGGTTTTACTGATGACCTAACAGCATGCGGTACTGCTGGCCTGTCCCATGGAGTAGA